ACTGAGTCAGGGATGTTCAAGTTTGCCAAAGACCCGCAACCCTCAAAGACACAATCCTCGATGTGGGTCAGTGAGTCTGGGATGGTCACGTTCACCAGAGAGCCGCAACCTCTAAATGCGCCATACCCAATACTGGTCACTGAGTTTGAAATGGTCAAGTTCACTAAAGAGCTGCACCCACGAAAGGCAAAACTCCCAATGTCGGTGGCCGAGTCTGGGATGGTCAACTTGGCCAACGTGTGGCACCCGTCAAAAGCACTTTGACAAATCACTGTTTCATCGTGTGGAATTTCGACCACAAGCAACAGCTCCGAGTCGACAATGCCACCGAGACTGGCGATCGCAGCTTTGTTGAAGCATATCACTTTGTTTGGTTTGAATACAACACTCACAGCTGTATCTTCAGCAATTCCAGCGTCCAATACCTTGACATCGTTGGTCAGCAATTGGTTGTCTGCCCCAATGATCTCCACGCCTGTGGTGCTGCGAGTGAGCTCGTCCCAAGGCGTTCTCTCCTTGACCTGCTGCTTGAGCTCCTTGCCTGTTGCCTCAGGCGTGACTTCAAGAACCAGGCTTTCACCATTCGTCTGCAGCGCTTGAATTCTCGCCATGGCTCGAAAATCAGGCCTGAATTTTGGATTTGTCTGCCTTCTGCCTGCTCGCTGTTCTTGTTATTATTTGACCTCATTTGGCACATTTGGCAACTCATTGTCTTCGCTTGGCCTTTGTGGGAAACAGAAAAAACACTTCTTTCCACAGCCATGACAGCCATGACAGCTGCCGTCCTCTTACAGTTCTTACGACCGATGCTTCGACCCCCCGCTTCGACCGTGGACGAAGCCGTGGACGGTGGACGAAGCCGTGACAAACCGACCGAACATCCATCCGTTGCCTGAAAAGTCATGGCATGTTTTCTCCAACCTGTAGCGATTTCACCCCGTGTTTTGTTTGCAGGACAACTTGGTCAGTGTGGAGTTGTTGCCAGAGAAACACTTCATGGCTGAAACACGGTGAAGGCCATATGTCCCAGACACTCCATGTATGGCGTAGAGAACCATGGAGTCTCATGGTAAACCACCCCAATACATGGAGTGTCATTGAGTGTCGGAGTCTCATTCACCCCCAATACACCACCCCAATGGGACTGTCACTGCCAGGCAGTTCGGTGGAGTGGCCAACCACCCAGTGGGACCCATCAACCCAGTTGGCAAACAAGCCAACAGAGGTACGGCCCTATAAGGTCACTTAACCTCTCTTGGAGACAGGGAAGAAGAAACGCTTGGACATTCCTGCATCATCATGCTCGGGAAGTCCGTGGCACGGGACGTGGTGGGAAACGTGTTCGCAACCCTCCCAACGGGCGTCCGCTTCGTCTGGGCTTGACAGAAAGTCCTGTCAAGAAGCCTGCCTTCAACATGTGGGATGCATGGAAAAGGAATGAAAAGGAGGTAGCAGCACCAGCGCACCAGTGCATCACCCGGACAGAAAAGCGTGAAATCCTGGTTGGATTAGGCATCCCAGGTAGAATCTGATTCATTACGATTCATGAGCGGTTGGGATTCATCCTCCCAGGTACAGGTCTAAAGGGCAATTGAAACCAAAATCCATACGTCGATGCCCGTGGATCACCTGTTGGATTGACCGAAGCATTTGCTTAGAACATGGGCCGAAAAGTAAATAAGTTCCATTAAGTTCTCATTGTCCTGAAACCTTAGTGGCTGCTGGCGACTGTGCCAAATTTTGCATGCAATGTGTCTTCTTTTTAAGATAGGGCAGCGACTTCAATTAGCCCCACACGCCTGTAATCGATCCCCATGTGGATGGCTTGCTCCGCCAACTGGCAAACGGCATCCAGCTCCTCGCTGGGGAGTTTCCTCCCTTGGCACCCCCTTTCGATACCTCCCTAAACCTGTTTCGGGCTTTTTGGCCACAAAAAGCAACCATCGACATTTACCACAAGCACAAAACACACCCACTCACACTCACACACCAACATCAACACACCAAACACCTGGAACCACCGGTTTGAAGAGGAAGCCCTGCTTTTCACAGAGCTTCGTCCAACAGGACGGAGTGGCGAAAGGCCACACCAAATGGACGGGTCGGGAAAGCACCGGCCATAAATCCACAAGCAGACACTCTCTGTTTGGAACTGTCATATTTGCCAGTCAGGCCAGGGGTGGGCCATGAGGGGTCAATGTATAGGCATATATAGGCGTATATGGGAGTCCAATGGAGTGTCTAGGTAACCTACGACCCTACAGCCCTACATTTTTGGTAGAGGTAGAGATCCTCTTCAGGCCGAATCATCATACTACGTGTGGTGGAATGGGCTCTCCGGTTGGTAGAGCCATCAGACTCTTCTTAAAGAGCCGTACCAGTCCTTGACAATTCCTTAACATTCTTCCAAACCGTACCGGACACACGGGCTCCGCTGTTCCGGGCTCCTCCGCCGTGAGGCGCTTCGTGCGCGTGGCGAGCGCGTCCAAGTCGTCCTCCAGGAGCTCGGCCAGCCGCTCCATGGGGGGGCGCAGCCACCGCGGTCTGCTCCCCCCGCGGTCACCACCGCGGCCAGAGCACGGGCACTGCACCAATGACTCGAAAAGCAGATGGCCGGTGGCGTTTTGGCCAAGCGTTGCAGGTGTGTTTGTTTGATGCCTGTGTCTGTGTGTGTTTAGTGTGCTTTTTGATTTGAAGGGTCTCATGCTCGTGATTCTTTAGTAACGTTCATAAACAAAGGGGAACATCTGTCAAACTCCAAACAAATCCACTCAGACGAGGGCAGACTAGGGCAGACGAAGTTGAAGGAAGCAAGTAAACGATGAACTTGCTGATCTCGCGGTTGATTTGCCAACCCTGAACTCACAAATGGGGGCAGGGTGACTGCACATTCTTGACACATTTAGGCGTCCTAGAACATCCTTTGCAAAAGGGGTGTACTCACCATGCATATAACCTTCCCTTCATCACTAGGAGCGTTCATTCACTCAGCAACAAAAAGCGTGGACCACTGGATCTATTCCTGATCTTAGGTAGCTACAAGCTCAGACCCTCAGCGCTGCTGTACCCTCAGCAGCGCATTTGAGCCAAGCTACACCGCAAGATTTGTGGATCTCAACCCCGACCCGTTCGTAGTAATGGGTAGGTTCACTAGATTTACCCCTCCCAGGAGGTCTTGAAGCCGGACCAATCAATATGATAGGGAGGGGATCCCCACTGAGTATGGCTGTTTTTCAGCGTGGCCCTTGCCATTGTGCCCTTGCACATCGAGGTCGCAAGAACAACAACCGCCACAAAGAAAGACCGTAATTGTGTGCAACAGGGGATGCTGACTGTTCAATCACCAACAACCAACAAACGAACACCTCATTCTTCTCGATCGATCTTGGTCTGCAAATTGCAAGCATTGTACTAAAAACTGACCAGTTTAACCGAAATCATGTCATGTAGAAAGTACCTTTGAAAACGAAGAGTGCCTTTTAACAAGCGCCACCGCACCAGCAACGAAGGTGGAAGTTTTGGCAACTTTAGCTGGGTGGCTTCAAAGTCAATCATCTGGAATGTCACATCTCTACAATCGGAGGTATGACTTGACCTTCTTAGAAGGTGCCACTGGAGCACCTTCTAAAGAAATCGTCTAAATACCAACTATAGAATCGCCCACCATCTTCACCTCCAACACGAGCTTCGTTCCCGGCCCATCCACTCGGTTTTGGACACCAACTCGCTCTGCCCAAGCGAAAAGCTCTGCGCCCATCGGCCACGCCTTCGCCTTCCGTCGCTCTTCGGTCACGCCATGATCACATCCGACTTCCGCCGCTTGGCCGCCGGCTCCTGCGCAGGAAGCGGAGAGAGAGTTTTCTGCTGGGGCGGCAGGGGAGTCGAGCTTGGCAAGGGCCAAGTGATCCAAGTGGTCCTTGGGGCTTCTGGAAGGGTCCTAAACACCCTTCGTTGCACTGGCGTTTCAAGAATTCATGGAAGCGGAACATCGCCTGTTTGCTTTGCGGAACATGGTCCTCTCCGGCCCATGATACAGGGGTCGTGCAACCAACCGTATCGATGCCAACCGTATCATGGTGATCAAGAGTTGAATCACTCGATACCATCCAGTGGAGGATGTACGCGACGTCGCAACCTGGAACATGGGAGCCATGCGAGCCGTTCGTGTTCACCCCCGAACCAGGGGATTGATCCGCCTGCTACATGGAAAAGCTATGAAAAGCTTCATTCATCAGCCACAAAGTTCGTGAACTTGAAGACACATCTCAGGCAGCGGAGGACCTCCTGCCGCACTTACCGCAGGAGTTAACCATCACAAGCCCGTGTAAACGCCTGTAAATAATAGGAGTAGTTTCAGAGGCTTGTAGCAGCGAAGCAAGCATGTTCCCTGTGTGCCGTAGGGTCTCAGCCGATTACACGTGGCAGGAGATGTATTATGGACACAAGTTAGAGTAGATGGCACAGACCCCAATGTCGGTGGTTTATATGGACTCCCATCTGTCTAGGACATCATGGGGGAAACGTGCCATCGAGCCTCTGATGGCCCACTGTAAGCTTCTGGCAACCCATACAGTTCTTCCTCAAGCAGTACGTAGGTGACATCGCTCAACTTGTCAGGTGGCTTAAGACATAGCCAACATGTCAGGTGACAGCCTCAATTGACCCTGATGTCCTCGACAGGCTCTCTGCCGGAATAACCTCAGCAGATTTCAAAGCAGGGACTGAAATGACCAACCCCAGGGCTCCAAATACCTTCTGAGAAGATGTTTGGGGGTGGGTTCAGAGGGTCCAAATACCTTCTGAGGAGGTACTTGGAGCCCAAGGGAAAGCATCCGACATCCAACACCATTGAGGGAGATTCAGTTGCCCACGCATTTTAGGGGTACTATACAACTAGAACACTGGACACACAACGTGAATCCACCGCTTGGGTTTTTTTGGATGGCTATAAGGCGTGAGCAAGCTCTCCGCTCTGGTTCCCTGGAAGTTTGGTTTAAACTGCCCATTACCTGCTTGAGAAGCCTAGTAACTCCGGGCTTTTTTGAAATCCAGAAGAGCATGATGTGCATATCATCCGCTCAAGATGCAATGCTCTGCATGTATTGGGGAGATTGTCCCTTTGATTCGGTTTTGCACGATGACCAAGGTTCCTGGATGACCATTAAGCACTTGCGCTTTTGAGCTGTCTAGTCTTCAACTGAATAATATGAGGATCCCCGGCACATCATAGCTGCTGCTTGGATTCTCGCTCGATTACCACGGTAGTACCAGTACCGCAATGCTGTCTGCAGGGGGTGAACCAAAAATGAACTGACAAAAGACCAGGCGAGATGCAGACGATCAAAAAATCTGACACCATTGAGATTGCGCTAAAAGTGACAGAGACACTCAAAAAGACAAGAAAAAGAATTGTGACTGACCAGCAACTGAGTTCAGTTTTCTCAAACCATGACCAAACGACTTGTGAATGGAGATAGCCATTCCCGAATAAGCATAATGATGGAACATCTTTCAAACATAGAGATAGAGATGTCGAACCACCCACTGAATGTCTATAGCTGCATGGTCGAAAACACCGACGATCTATCTTTAGAACTCATCAAACACACATCGAAGAACACTCACTTGGGGATGTGTTCATCCGTTCATCCCATGGAAAACACACCTCCGTCCACCCGAGCCCAACCGAGCACGAACCGAGCTTCCCCCCCGAGCCGCGACTCACGTCGTGGGCGTGGTCTTCCCGCCACGCGGTTCTCCCGGGTGCACCCCCAAGGGTCCGAGCCCGGCTCGGCGTGGGAGCGCGCGGGCATGCAAAGCCTGGGGAATGGTGCCAGGGTTCGGTCGAGAGTCTCGGGACCCTCCATGAAACAATGGATGTGGAGTGAAAAACCCCTGTTTGTAGACCCTAGGGCTCCAGTCATACCTTCTGAGAAGGTGTTTGGGGTGGGTTTAGAGGGTCCAAATACCTTCTGAGGAGGTACTTGGAGCCCTAGGGAGAGGAAAACACTCGTTGGTGAACCAACGATCGCGTCGTCACCCTGTCAAGACGTGACTGGAACAGCTACCGCCGGGCCTCCGTTCAAGGCGCTGGTGATGTCTACGGCAGTTCCGAGGTTTTCGGTGATGTCTATGTCGGCGCGTCACCCCAAAAAAGATCACCAGCAGCGACAGTCACGGCGCGACTGAGGAGGCACACCAGATGGCCCGCCTGGGGAACTTGAGCCAAGGATGATCCAAAGCCTCGCGATGCAACACGGATGGCCCAGTCTGTCGTTGGGTTTGGCAACCTCAGACCCAGCATGGACAGCCATGGATAGCCATGGTATTTTCGGTGTGTTAAACTAGTGGGAGAGGCTTTGAGGAAGCAGAATCTACAACTTCACTCGCAAGGAAACATGCACCGTACCGGTATACCGTACCGGTATATCGGTATCACTTACATGAAGTAAATATATCCAACTGGGCATCTCGGACGGAATATATGCTGATTCCAAACAAAATTGGCCTGAAGATACCTGAAACCATTCTGCCATTCCCCCCAGGATTGCTGACCATCTCCTTCCCTGAATGCCAGCCATGTCCTTCTCACATCACGAGCCGCAGGCCTGTCGGATATCGATGCGCTCCCGTGGATTCACCATCATCATGGCCTTCACCAATCTCTTGGCCTCCACGAGTAAACCGGCACGCCGAGTGAAACGGCACGCAGCTGACGCGGCAGCTGGTTGGCAGGCCCCACTCAAAGGACGAACTGCGAGGATTGGTGGTTCATCGACCTGTAGGCTGAGGATCGTCACGGGCTAAACCTCCACTTGGCCGCGTAGTTGGCCATGTAGCGACACTTCGGTGACCTTCTTCCAAACAACCAACATCCGAATCATAAAAAACAATTGAACATCACAATCAACAATCACGACCCATATCATACAACAAAAAATAGACAGGTCCCAAACATGTCCAAACAGCCGACTGGGAAACAACACGGCTTTCACATGTGCCAGAGTCTAACAATCAAACTTGTCAGATTGCGTCAATCAACTCTTGAGCGAATCAATCTTAGAATCATAGAGCCATACCAGCACCCTCCAACAGGTCTCCTTTGGGGGCTTTTGCTGACTCAAAAGTCGCAGGTGGCGACCTGTTGGAGGGTGCTGGTAGATATTTGTCTTCCAAACACGTGTAGGTGTAGAATCTACTGCATTTCCGTGATATGAGTCTTGGTTCAAATCCTCGTGTTTATCCTTTGGCCCCGTGACTGACTTGTGGAAACACCGCTGCCCTGTTCAAGCGCTCCAAAAAGTTTCCTGGCCTTTGCAGGACTTTGGAGGAGTGTCAATGTGTCAAATACGTTACGCAATGTGCAAATCAACTCTACCCCCCCAAAAAAGATCACAGGACCCACAAACATCTAATTAATATATGTGAAATATGTTATCATATTTTGGTGCGTGGGTCAAAACCTGGGCGCCCTGGGTTGAACAGATTACTCTAAGTTCGGGGGTATCCAACCTACCATACAAACTGCTAAGAAATACCATGACGAAACCAGCCATCAATACCCAAGAAGGTTGAACGCCGAGGTCTCGGGCCTCCTCGGTGACCCGTGTCCACTCCTGCACCTTGCTGGAGG